ATAAAAGAAAACTATTATTCCCCAAATGAAAGATGAACTTGGGACAAGAAAAGAATTGCATACCACAAAAGTATTGGCTCTGACAACATCAAGCATTGTGACTCCCAAAAGTCGATTTGGATCAAAAGTGCCAGCTTTCTTGAAAACTTCAGCAGCAATTGGCACTGTGGAGTTAACAGGGTTACTAATCAAATTAACAATAGCCTTTGGACAGCATTTTGCTATCCCTTCACAAAGGGTCTTAACAATTCCAGCATTGATGTTGAACAAATCATCCCTTGTCATCCCAGGCTTCCTAGGAACACCAGCTGGAATAATTACGAGGTCCATGCCCGTAAGGGCAGCTTCCAATTGCTGTTGCCCCAGAAACCCACGTACCTAAGAGTCCAACACCATAATTAAAATACCAGAGGAAACCATTGATATCAAACTGAAAGCCAAAAACACATATTAAGGCCGACATACCACAGCACCTGTATCCATGTGGCTAATGTCAGCAGTGACACCAGGAGTGTTAACAACATCATAGAGATGAAGCACCGACACCAAAGGATTCATCTTCATTAACATTGCTAGAGGCTGCCCAATTCCTCCTGCTGCACCCAAGACAGCCACCTTGAAACCAGGTGAGCCCCCTTTGGCCCGGCAATTGGTGGGCGTCAAGTTCGGATTCTCCTCCATCTATAAAACCCACAATTCACAACCGAGAATCAGCTTAACCATCAACAAAAACAAAGGAAATGAAGAGTAGAAATTGGAATCAATTAAGGACCTGGGAATTAGGAGGGTGGAGATGGGCTGAAATTCTTGCAATGCGTTGGTTGACCTGTGAATTGGGTTGCATGTTTTTCCTTCTGGGCTTTCTACTCTGAGTTACAAACAAGAATTTTTGTTGGGTACTTGGATGACTATTTTACGAGAAAGGAAAAGGAACCAAAGGATTGGGAGGGATGACAACGAAGACAGCGTTTAGGCATTGTTTGGTTTTTTGGGAAGCGTGGAAACTTATCTTATCCGAACTCCCAAGCGGTGGGGAATGGGCACCCGGCAACCTACCGGTGACTTTTGGTAAGTTTTTTTTTTTTTTTGGCAAATCTGTTAAGTTCTTAAATTTATTTTAAATTTTTGATTAAATGCTTAAATTTTTATTAAAGTGAATAAATTTTTTTTTAAACAGTGTGAAATTTTTTTTCGGGGAAAGGAGAAGTGGGCTTGGGATTTCATCCCAAGCTCTAGTCATTGGGCCACTAAGTGCTAGACAAAGTGAATAAATTTTTAATTTTGATATTTTAAATAATTTAAATATATTTTTACTATAAATTTAATATATTATTTTATATCTTATTTATATAGATAAAGTCAATATTATCTATATGCAATGATATATAAATATTTTATATCTATAAGTGAGGTACAAATTTGTATTAAATTTGTAAAAGAAAAGATTAAGTTACTTAAATTATTAAATTTAAGGATTTATTTATTTCAATAAAAATTGAAATAATTAATTGAGAATTTGAAATAAATTTTAAGATTTAATGTAAAGTTTTACTTATTTTTTAAGGTTTTTTTAAAAATATTTTTTTCATAAATTTA